CCTTATAGGAGAACAATAAGCAAGTTTTCAACACACTCACTAGAAATTCAAGGATACCTGCTAACCAAACACCACTACCATATTCCTCACTTGGTTTTTTGATGAAAGTTTTTACAAGAAGTGGGAATTTAGCGTACCCTCTATGAAAATTCTACAGAAATCATCCATTTTGGGAATAGAAGAATCATCCCTTTTCTAGAACTAGGAGTAACTCTAATCAGAGTGAAAAGGTCGGCTATAGAATTAGTAGAAAAGAAATTAAACACTGACATCTCTATCATTAAATGATATTTACATATAGTATAGACCTATTTCTAGAATAGAGACTAGGAATAGCAGTACTATATAATTTTTACAATTTGCTCTGGCTGAGGCTTTGGTCCTCTTTTTGTTTTTTTTTTTTTTACTATTATGTATTTATTTTGTTATTTTGTTTTGATTTGGGTTTTGTTTATTTACTTTTGGTTTTTTTAGTCATGTTCTTATTTGTACTCATTTTTATAATATCCCTCTTTTTTCAGCCCTTTAAGAAAAAGAAAGAATTTAAAGAAAGGATTGAAGACAGTTAATACTTGTCCTGAAGAGAGAAATCCTTTCTGGTATGGCTTTAAGTAGCCAGATAAGCAGTCTACCTCTGACTGAGGTAGTGCAGCAGATCGCACTTAGATACCAATAAGGTGGCCAGGTGATGCTGGACTTAGTTATTAGGAAAATTCTATGTAATTATTGTTTATAGTTGCAAGAATCTTAATAAAGTACTAGCATGGCTGCTTAAGAGCAAAAAAAAAAAAAAAAAAATATTAACTAATAAATAATTATATAAAAAATTACAAATAATATAATGCAAATATATAAAATTTTATTATATAAACTTAATATTAAAAAATAATTTATAATTAATAAATTTTACTAAATTTATTAGCTAATAGTTAAATAATTTTATAATTATAAAAATTTTTATTATATAGTTAAAATACTTTTAAGATATATAGTTGTGTTATTAAGTTTACTATTTTCATTAACAGATTGTCTGATAAATATATAAATAACAAAAAAATATTTATATAATTATAAAAGTATCAAATATATTTATTTATTTTTTTTAAATATTAATGATGAGACTATGCCTCTATCTTTATTAAAATTCAGTTAAACTTTTTACAAGTAGAATATACAAAAAAAATTTATAATTGAATTTTATATCTATAAGATATTAAAATTAGAGGCTTAGACAAGTTATCTGTAAACTAAACCTATCAAATATATTTATAAAACTAGAATGATATATTAAATATTAATAATAATATATACTGATATATAATGATATAATAAAATTTTTTTTTTATCTCTGGTGTTAGCACTTAGAGGCATGTGTGATGCTCTTTTATTAAAAATTAATTATTAAGAACATTTGTATATATTTTTTGTTTTTTGAGAACAGTTATTCAAACTATAATACAGAATGTATATGTTTTTATGAAGATGTTTGATTATTATTAAGAGTAGGATTCTACTTAAAAGGTTGCTGTCTCTCTATTTGAAAGAGATGTAGGTGCACCAGATTTCATAAATTATATTTATATATAGCAAAGAGTAGCTTGCTTACTTTCATTATTTATAATATTTATTGCTATAAAAATTTTTTTTATAAAAGTTGAAAGGGTCTCAATTTGGTTAGTTTTTAGAAGACCATAGGTTTGTTTTCAGATTTTTTTGCTAACTTTGCATTTGAGTATGAAATGCTCAGCTGTTTGTAGTTCATTGTCATACTAGGAACAGCTTTCTGTAATAAAAAAGCTTATATGCTGTAGTCGATATCTTAGTGATAAAGCTTTATAGAAAGATGTCATAAAATGTTTTTTTTCTTGTTAGCTATTTTTTTAATAAGCATCTAGTTGGGTTGATGACTAGAACTAGGTAGTTTAGATGCCTATCTTTTCCTTAGAATCTCAATGATTTTCTTAAATAAGAGTTCTTTATTATTAAGTTTTTCTATTTTAATATCTTTGAGCTTTCAGAGCCAGTTTGTTATTGCAATAACTTTGCCTTTGGCCTTTTTTCAAACCAAGAAATATGGTTTTCATTCTTTTGATTAGGCTTTTGATCTAATTATATCTGTTTTAAGTGTTTGGTTTATTGAAATATTTCTTTTTTCTAGTAGAGTTTCTGTGTTTTTTCTTTTTTATATTTAGCCTATGTAAAGTTACTAGTAAGAAGTTTTTTCATATTGAGATTAGTTTAGCATCTAGCATATCTTTTACTATTGGAGCTTGAAGACCATTTTGTTCAAGTAATTGTTAGAATATAGAGTATTTAGACAGCATTCTGAAGTTGTTTTTAATTCAAAATATTATAAGTTTGTTGATTTCTGCAATCTGTTTTTTATTTGGTAGTGTCAGATATGCTATATATCATATTTGTAAGAGTATAAGTGTCTTGGCTAAAAGGATTTTTTTTCTAAAAAAAAGATTTCAGTTAGATGATTTTTCTAGTGTTTTTTTTATTCTGGTAATTGTTGTTGTTTATAGGTCTTTTTTTGAAATGCCTTTTGTGTTTACTTCATAACTAAAAATTGTTAATGTCTTATATTCTGTAGTTTTAATAAATTTGAATTTATCTTCAAGCTTAATCCTGTAGACTGTGTTTGTAAGAGGTACTAATTTGGTTTTGCTTTTGTTAATCTTTGTGTTAGAGGCAGCTTTATAGATTTCAAAAAACTGCATAATGCTTGTCCAATCTGATAATAAGCTTATTTCTAATATTAAGTTATCTGCATAGGCTGACAGTTTAAAGAATTGCCTTTTTAAGAGAATTTCTTGAATATTTCTTTTTAGTTATATAAGTAGTGATTAAAAAGTAAGCATATATAGTAAGGAAGAAAAAAGATCTTCTTGTTGTATTTTTCTTTTTACTTTAAAGGATTTAGATAGAATATTGCCTTCTATAATATATACTATTTGGTTAAAAAAAAAGTTGGTCACCAAGTTGGTTATTTTTTTATTAAAGTTCATTTTTTTTAAAACCAGATTCAGAAAGTTATAGTTTACTCTGTTAAATGTCTTCTGCTAATTTACCAATAGTATCCAGTGCTGCTTAGAATCATCTGGTTGGTTTCTTAATATGATAATTATATCCATAGCTGTGTTTGTTATTGATCTTCTAGAAACAAATCCTTGTTGATAGCTAGGAATAATTTTCTTACAAATTATATTAAGCCTATTTGTTATAATATTTATGAAGATTTTGGCATTACAATTTACTAATAAAATTGGGTGTTAGTTGTTTAGATCTTTTAAGTTTTTTGATTTTTTAGGAATTAATATGATTATGTTTCTGCACTATGAATCTGATAAACAGCCAGTATCGAATTACTTGATTAAACACCTTTTTAAGAACTGGTGCTATTTCTAATAATGTAAGCTTATAGAATTTATAAGTTAGCTTATTAGTGCTAGATAACTTGTTATTAGGAAGACCTTGTATTATTTGGATTATTTCTTTTTGTAAAATTCTTCTGACTAAATTGTTATTTTGGTCTTGTAGTACTTGCAAAAGACTTTTAGTAATTTCTTCTGCTGCTTTGGAGTCTATGTTTTCTTTTTTATAGATTTTTATATATTGGTTTCTGATATATATAATTATGTTTTTATTTTCTAAGCTTAAAGTTTTAGGTATTTCAATTTTAAATTGAGCACTTTGTAATTTTTTTGCTTTGTATCTTAAGAAGAAGTATTTTGTTGACTTTTTACTATTTTTAATCCATTGTGTCTTTAATCAAATTAGCTATGATTCAGTCATTTTGGTTAATTCCTCTTGTATTTGAAGATTAAGTTCTTCTATATTTTTATTTAGATGTTTTTTTGAGAAATCTGCCACAAGCTTCTTACTTAACCTTGTAATATCTTTGTTTAGTCTTGCTATTTTGTTTTAAGAGCTTTGGGTTTTTGAAAGGCTTTAATAATTAATTGTATATAGATTTTACATAGATCTCAGTTTTCTGCTAAGTTAGCATTCTGAATTTTCTCTAGCACCTCTCTTTTTAGTAATTCATTTTTAAAAGATTCTTTATTGAACCTTCAGGCTGAAGGCTGTTTAGAACTTGTTTAAATTCAAATATGCATTTTCTAGAAGATGGTCTAAGTTACCAAAGTGTATACTAACTTCTAATATAAGGTGATTATAATTCTCATTTATAAAGATGTAGTCCAAACATGTAGCCATTAAGCAGTTATTTTGTGTTTTTTGAAAAAAGGTTAGAAAGAATTTGGTGCTTGACATCTCTGCTATGTTAATAAATTCTTTTGTTAAGTTGAAGAGTTGGGTTCTAGTTGAGTTATGTTGAATTGCTGCTTGGCTGTTTTTGTTATTATTAGGATTAAGATTGATATTGAAGTTATCTGCTATAATGTTTATATTATTTTCTTTGATTAGAGGTTTTCAATTATTAAAGAAGATTATTCTGTTACTAATGTTTGGGGGTGTATAGATGTTTGTTATTTTGAAGAAATATTTTTTAAATACAAAGTCTGTTGTTATTGTTTTTTCTTCATGGCTTGTCTGAATGTTTTTAAATTTAACGTCCTTGTTTTCAACTAGAATTGCTGTTTTTTTAGTTTAGATTGAATTGTAGATTTATTGTTGTTTAAGAAATTCTTATGTTTCTTTATTATTAAGATTAGTTTCCTAAAGCATTATTATGTTTAATTTGTATGATTTTAAAAGAATTAGTAAATTTTGTTTTTTGCTTTTGTTGTTAAGTTTTTTTACATTTAATGTTGCTATTTTTAACTTGGCTTTTTGAGACATAATTATAAGAGGTTGTTGAATTCTTTAAATTGAGAGTGACTTTCTTCTTTACAAGTTTTCTTATAAAGAAATGATCTTGTCTTATCTTTTTTAGATGTTCTGTTTCCTTTTTTTGGTTTTCTTGTTAGTAACTGTAATAAAGCTATCTGTTTATTTATTTTTGTCAGAAGAGGATGCTGTCTTGAAAATGTAACTTGCAGATGGATGTGATGTTCTATAACTATAAATAACAAGTTCATCTCTTGGCAGCATTTCTATATCTGGCAAGAAATTTTTTTGAGCTGTTGTTTGCATTTGTTCATTTGAGCTAATGTTGATTATAGTTGGTTCTGTTAGAAATAGAAGCTGAAGGTTCTGTTGATGATTAGGATCTGTCTTTTCTAAAGCCATATGTGCATCATCTTTTGTATCATCTAATTCTAGTTGTTCTAGATTTTCTAATAATGAAGATCTTTATTGATTTGTTTAGAGTTTTCTAAAGTCATTTTTAAATCTTAAAAGTTATCTGAGAATTTTTTGTTGTGTTTATTCTTTTTGTATTTTTAATAACTAATTTATAAGTTTACTAAATTCTAAAATTGTTAACATTCTTTTTTGACAAAACCTTCTTTTTACAGAAGTAGTACATTTTTGGTGCTGATCTTTATTTTGTTGTAACTTTTTTTTTTTTTTTTTTTTAAAAAGTGAGGTCTTGCCTCGATTTCTTTATTGATTATTAATATCTAAATACATTTTTATCTGTAGTACATATTATTTAATCTCTGAAAGCTAAGGCTTAGGCTACTTTATCTACGACCCAGACTTTGCTAAAGAGAATCAAAGTTCCCACTTAGTTTATGATTGTATTGATATAATTTGGTGAGGTATTGTAATTTATAAACATTTTTCTCCATATCTTTAATTTAGTTTTTATTTTCGATTCAGTTAATCCTATATTATGAATATCTGCTATTGCTTTTGAGACTGTCATTATATTTCTGTTATTGTCTTTTATTTATGAAGTATTTGATTTTAATGAGTTGTTGTATTGTTCTTTGCATCATGTTATCCATATTTCTTTATATATTTTTTGTATGACTTTGTGCATTAAGTAGATTGATAGACTGTGTTTCGGTTTTGGTACTTTTGCTATTTTGTTAATCAGTTTTGTACTGCTTTGGAAAAGCATTCCTAGTGTAATTCTTGTTAGTTGTGTTTGTAAGTCAGTTAGACAAATACTTTGGGTTATTAAGGTTATGATTTGATGTCTAGTTTTGATGTCTGCGACTTCATATTTGGTTAGAGTTTTGTTGACTGTTTCTGTTATTATTTTCCGTAAGCTAGTGCTATTGCTATTACAGATTATCAGATGGTAGTTGCTTTCTGTTGTTTCTTGGCATCTTGCATATGTTGGGTTAGGGTACTTTATATTATTATGTTTGTATAGTACTTCTAATATTGGCAGCTCTTCTAATAGTAATTTTAGTTTAAATACTTTTAGTTGTGAGTATTTGGAGTTTGTTTGTCTCTGTGTTGGTAAACATTGGTAATTTATATAATTGTAGAAGGATTTCTAATCTACGTCTTTGCGAATAGTATCCCATATTTGAGCTCATACTTGTGATTGCCAGTGTGCTATGTGTTGTGCATTCTGTGTATAACGAATGAATTTTCTAATATTATGTTCGATAGGTGTATTTTGCCATGTAAGATATAGGACATCATGACATATATTTTTGTGACTTATTTCTATTTCTATAATAGGAGAGTATATGTTTATAATATATGTTATAGGGTCGTTTACTAAGAATGTATATTTTAGGTCTTTTCTTGCAATTAGTGCTTTCCATGTCAACCAGCTTGGCCAGTTGTTTAAGTGGTATATTTGGTATATATCATTTGTTGTAGTTGCGTAAACTGTTTGGGCTAGTTTTGCAAAATAATTTTTGTCTGTAATTATTTGAATTCTTGTCTCTTTTAGTGTTATTATTGAGCTAAGTATTAAAGTCATAATAAGTGTTTTGGTTGTTGTGGGCCATTCAGATAGCACTGTCTTAAACTGCAGTTTTAAATTTGGAATATCACATATTATTTTATCTTGTTGTGTATCATTACTTATTTGTTGTTTTTGGATTAGTTGAATGGTAATAACTTTGTATTGTTTGCATTTCAGTTGTAGCTCTTGTAGGTAGCTGGCTGTTTCTAGATTTTCTATTGCTTTTTCCATTAGTTTATATTTTTTCTTAGTGTTATTTTGGTTTTGTGTTTTACTATTTGAATCGTATGCTGTGTGTTCTAAATCTTGTATATTTGCTCTTACAAATTTTTTGCTATCTACTAGTATTTTTTGAAGGTCATACAGTTTGATTTTGCTTGTATATTTTTCTTTTTTGAGATTGGTATTATTCTATCAACATCCTCTGCATGGCTTCAGCTTAGTGAATGTATTGTCTATAGTTCAGTGGTTGATTGTTGCTTGGTTATCTTTTATAGATGATATTTGTCCTATGTATCTATCTGATGTATTCTTTTTTATTACCCAAGATGCCTTTTTGAATGTTTGGTATGAATTAAAGGTAAATGGATTTGGAGTAACAAGATTATAGTTGTTGTTGCTAAGGTTTTGTTTTATGTTTTCTGTTATAAGTTTGTACCATTTAGGTTCTCTTCCTCTAGGTATATATAATATAGTATGTAGTATTTGTGTTCATGTTAGTACATCTGTATTTTTGTAATTAGTGCATTGTTTAATAAAGTGCAATCTGATTTTGTTGAGTTTGGCCTTTACTAGGTGTGGTTTGTTAATTTGCTAAAGAACTGTATCTATTGATGTGCCTTTATGTTCTGCTGGTTTTGGCTAATTGTTGTTGCTGTTTAGAAAAGTTATTCCTGTTTTCTGTATACTGTATAGCATTTTTGCTAATAATGTTTTTGATTCTTTTTGTGGCAGTATATATGTGTTATTGGTTAGTATAGACTTGTTGCTATAGGTAGCATTTTGAATTTGTTAGATGTGTATTTTTAGCATTGGGTTTGATAGTTTAGCATAATTGAGCTGTCAGAGTATAAGGGAGATGTGTTGCTATGTTTGGATGTTTGTAACAGTTCATAATCCATAAATTTGATGGTGGAATAGTGTTAAGTTGGGTACTGTTCATGTAAGACCAGCTTTGTGTTTTACTAATGTTGTATAATAGTTTGTTATTGCTTTGCATAATTGTGTAGGTAGGTAAGTATTTTGGACTCTATATGTTATTCAGGTTAATATAACAGTATTAATAATATATATAGCTTGTTTTTCTGTTATATTTGCATTTTTAATTCTTCTTATAGCATTATTAGCTTTTTCTTTGATAATTTTGTAGATTGGTTTGTGATTTTTGTAGATAGTATACTAGCATCCTAGAAAGTGAAAGGCCTCTTTTGGCTGTATTGCCTCAATTGTTGTATTGTTGTATATTATATTGAGATTGCTAATTGTTGAATTGGTTACTGCAAGTACAGATTTGTTTGGATTTACTTTTATATTTGTGAGTGAGAAGAATGAACTTGCAGTTTTGAGGATTGATTGTAGTTCTTGTTTGGATTGGGCTATCCATATAGTATCATCCATGTAAGCTAGTGCTGGTAAGTTTGTTTAAAGGTTTTTTGTTCTATCTTGCTCATTATATGTTGTGTTAAGTGAGAAGTCTTTTGTATTGTTATATATAGTTGTAAGCAGTAGATCGTAATAAATACGTCATAGAAGTAGTACTATTGTTTTACCTTAGTCTATTCTGTCTCCAACTTCATATGATTCTGTTAGCCCAAAGTTTGTTATTATATAGTTTGATCTATTAGTAAAAATGTTTGTAATTAGGTTTGTTGTAGCTTCTAGAATATTTATTCTTTCTAGAGCTTTTTTAAGTAATGGAATATAGATTGTGTCATATGCCTTAGACATATCTTGACTAAGTAACTATAGTTCTTTGTTTTGAACTTATGCATCTTTTAAAATATGTGCTAGTGTAGCAATTGGTGTTTGTGTTGATATATTGGGAATTGTAACATGGTTGCTAGAATGTAGAATTGGATACTTGTTAAATATTGTGTTTAATCTTTTTGTTATTGTTTTGGTGAAGATTTTTCATGTGTGTTCAATTAAAGTAATTGGCTATGTTTCATTGAGTTTTCTGGAGAATTGTTGCTTCTTTGATATTGGATAAATATTGCTTTGCTTCCACATTTTGGAGATTGTATTAAGCATAAGGCATGCATTAAAAATTTTTAGTAATAGATTTAAGGTATAGTTATCTAAGTGCTTTAGCATTTCATTGGATATTTGTTGTGACCCAGTGGCTTTCCCATTTGGTGATTCTTTTATATTAGTTTGAAGTTCATATATAGTTATAGGGTCTAACATTACATTGTACCATAACTTATTTATTCTTTTTTGTGGCATATATTGTTCTATTCATTCTTTCCAGTAGTTGTTGTTCATAGGGTTGCTCTTTATCCATTCTTCAAAATGTTTTTTGATTTCTTTTTTAATTTCTTATGGTTCTGTTGTAACTTTGTCAGGGTATATAATATTGTTTATTACTACTAGGTCTGTTTGTCTTTGTAGCATACTGTTTATCATCTTTGTAGTATTAGTTGCAAAGTTGTTATGTCATTTAATTATACTGTTTTTAATTTTTTGCTTATGAGCCATGTTGTTTTCTATTTTTCTAGCTTGATAAATGGCTTTCTGTTGGTGTTTTAATAGTTGCAAGGTATCTTCTAGTGTTGTGCTTGTGTTGTGCGACTGGTTAAGCTTGAGTATTTGCATTTTTGTATAGTTGTTTATCTTGTCAATTTTATGATTGATTTCTTGGATTGTTGATAAGTCTAGATTTGGATTATCTTTTTTGAGGTGTTTAATAATTTGGTTAATGCTTTGTAAAGCAGCATGCAGTTTTGTAGCTTTTTTAAAAAAGGTGTAGTGTGTTTTAGGGCTTATTTTAGTTTTGGGTATATTGTTGTTAACTGCCTGTTTAATTGCTTCATTTAGTATATGCCAGCTTTTGTTTAGTTCTTCTTCTGTGCTAATCGTTTGAGGAAGTTTATTTTCTTGTTGTTTTAGATACTTGTTAATATCATTTTTGAATTCTATCCAGTCATCAGACTTCATTTGGTTATATTGAAATATTGATCTTTTCTTTGTCTTTGGTCTGTATTTCTTAATATTTATATTAGGTTGCCATATTGTTGAGATTATTTTATAGTCACTGTTTGTTATAAGCTCTGTGTTAATTAATTCAGGTTGAGTTATATTGGGTAGCAGTGTACTTGATACCCATATGTCATCTATTTGGCTTTGTAATGGTCCTCTTGCCCAGGTAGGCAAGTTTATATCAAAGTATTTTAAAAGACTATTCTTATCGTGGGTT